GGAGCTGCCCCTCTCTTGCACCAAAATGACAAAAAAATGGTATCCATTGTAGTTATTATTGGAAAATAAAGAAAACGTTACTGCAAAATCTGTTTATTATTATTAAAAATTAACAAAAAAACGTTTTTTCTTTTATATTCAAACAGAAAATCAGTCTATTCGTCTGCTTGGTCGTCGTCATCCGTGCCTGAAATCTGAGAAGCATGGTTATCATTACCAATGTCATCACATTTAAGGGATTGGTAAAACTCCATTTCGTTGGCTGGAACGTAGTTGGTAGCTAACTGCATCACGTCTTTGTACTTGGCCTTTTTTACGGGTATTGATGACTCGTACACCATCAAGTTAGTTTCAACTGAAAGATTATCTTTATTGTCCCTCAAAATGTAGTACGATTCAAAAATAGGAATACCAGTTGTAACAGACACATTAACTGTATCCATGTGGTCATTGCTGTATTCAAAAATCCGGTATTGAGAAATCTTAAACCTCTGTTTTTGAGAATTCATTATAACCTTTTTAAAATGGTTCTCAAAATGACTGCTAAAGTTGAAGATCATATCTTGATGAACCATAATGGGTATGAAATGTTTGAATGTCTGTTGAATAAACTGACAGTATTGTGTAGGAGAGAAAATATAATCTTTTTTTCGTAAAAACTTTTCTATAACACCAAAACAACGGTCACACGGTAGGAAACTGTGCCCTGGTTCAGGAAAACGATGTTGAATATTCTCCAAAGACGTGGTTCTTACAAGAAAATGCAGAAACTGTAGTATCGTTGAATTTTTATTTTGAGCTGCAGCATTATCGGAAAAGAGGTACAGTTGTCTGACATTTTTTGGAAGGATATTTTTTATGTAGTGATAAAGAAAAGAAACAACTTCATTCGGTGATTTTCTAGCGGTTGTTTCATCGTAAATGTAAAAATGAGCTTTGCCGGTTTTGTTCGAATGTATGCAAAAATTGTAGACCCATAGTTGACGTTTGTAGAAGGCTTCGCCCGCCGGAATTTTCGGCAGAGGAAGATTCTGCTGAAAATCAAACGTTAAAATTTCTATGTCGTTATTTTGTTGGCTCAGTTTTGTCTTTTCTTTTAAGTCTGTAAAAAAAAACGACTTGCTTTAACCTCATGTACTTTCTTTTCAAGTCGTAAATTTTCCTTTTCAGTATCATCAAGAGCTGGATCTTGAAGGCTATTGTGTAATATGTCACATCTTTTGCAGGTGTCTGAACGAGGCGCCCCAAAACTATAATTAAAATTTGCTTTAAAATACCTAAAATAAAAATCGTAGGTTACTTTAGGTTTATAGTTTTTATCAACAACACTTTCCGGTTCATTCACTTGCAAATAAAGTTCATGCATCTTTTTAACATTGAGATCAGGAGACAAATAAAAACGGGACGTTTTCACTCGGCTGTAGTGTGACTCACGTCGTGGAAAACTTTTTATGTGATTATCTACCTTCTGCAGTAAATCTTTTGAAATGAGGTTTTTTCTATTTTTATGTTTACCTTGTTTGCTGTTCGGCGGTGTAATGTTGTTACTGCGCAAAGTTTTAGCAATATTATCCACTCGTTTTTTGGATATCCCGTGTATTGCTACGAATGCACTCCTACAAACTCGTATTTTTTCCATACCCAGCTTAATATAGTACTTGTGAGCACAACTACGCCTCACTCGCTCACCAGTTTTTGCTCGAGTTCTGGCAATATTGCTTGTTGTTATTAAACCACCCAAGTAGATATTTTGAATCTGTTTGTCTCCTATTTCATTAAAGTTTTCTAAAACTACTTGCCTCTGTTCTTCGTTCACCTTTTCAAAACATTTAAACTTACATTCACAATTAGGTCCAGTTTGCCTAGGTCCCACACTACTACCTTTCCAGTTAACATAACTTTTTCCTTCTGCAATACACTTTTTCTTAATGTTCCGTTTCCACTTAGCTGGATCAACACTTTTTCTATTCTTCGCAAACGAAACACTCTGAACCTCGTTTTGAACTGTATTGACTGGAAGCTTGTGTTTTTTTACACGCCTTCTTTTCACTGAAGGCCCTGCTTCATCAGGATCAGAGCTTTTTTCCGATTCGGATGGATTATAGGAATGATGGAATATTTAAAGAAGCGCTGCATAATTTGGAATGGGGCGTGAAAGTTAATGGAATTCTGATAAATACAATCAGATATGCAGACGATACAATTATTTTAGGTGATGACATGAATGGATTACAATGCCTTTTAAATGCCATTGATAAAGTGGGAAGAGAGTATGGCCTAAACACAAACTGTTCAAAAACAAAACACATGGTGTTTAGCCGTTTAGCACATCAAGATGCACGATTATTTGTTGATGGTCATATAATTCAAAGAGTGTCCAGTTTTAAATATCTTGGTTGCCATATTACTGAACAACTAGATCCAGATCAAGAGATAAAATGTATAATCGAGATAGCCCGCACGACATTTTTAAAAATGAGGTCATTCTTCTGCAATGATAACTTGCAACTTCAACTTCGAAAGCGCATGGTTAAATGCTACATTTGGTCAGTCCTCTTATACGGTGTCGAAGCATGGATATTAAAAATATCCACCATTAATCGTCTGGAGGCCTTTTAAATGTGGCTGCACAGACGTATACTAAAAATTCCATGGACGGCTATGCTGACAAATGTGGCAGTCCATGTGAGAGCAAATGCTGCTCGCGAGCTGCTTGATAACATCAAATGTAGAAAGATGGCCTATTTTGGACACGTAGTAAGGGGAGACCGATATAATATTCTTCAACTTATTATGATAGGTAAAATCGAAGGACGCAGAGGAATTGGTAGAAAGCAGGCCTCTTGGTTGAAGAATATCAGGGAGTGGACAGGAATAAAGAAAGCTGAGCAACTATTTAGAATAGCTCGAGACAGAGACAATTTCGCCATGTTAATCGCCAACGTCAATGGGACTTGATAGGGCACGTTAAGAAGAATGATGAAAATATAGAGTGTCTAACTAAATTATTTAATAAAATATACCACGATGGTCAAATCCCGGATGAATGGTTAAAATCTTTTTACCCTTACCCAAGAAAAATAATCCTAAATCTTGCGATGAGTACCGATTAATTAGCCTTATGAGCCACACTTTAAAAATACTGCTCAAAGTTATTCAGCAGCGTATATATAAAAAATGTGAAGAACAATTAGACAATACACAGTTTGGATTTAGATGTGGAATGGGAACAAGAGAGGCACTGTGCGCAATGACGGTACTATTACAAAAATGCAGGGAATATAATAAAAACGTATTCATATGTTATATAGATTTCCAAAAAGCTTTTGATAGAGTCCAACATGGTAAACTCATACATGCATTGAAACACATACACCTAGATATAGACCCAAGGATATTAATTTAATCAAAAATCTGTACTACAATCAAACAACGGTCGTACGGGTGGAAGATAGTGAGACAAACCAGGTGGACATTCAAAGAGGAGTCAGACAGGGATGTGTGCTGTCGCCACAATTATTTAATGTGTACTCCCAACTAATATTTCAGGAGGCACTATGGGAAAGAACTGAAGGTGTAAGGATTGGAGGGAGCATAATTAATAACATAAGATTTGCAGACGATACCGCAATCATGGCAGAGAATATAGACGATTTACAAACTCTCCTGGAAATCATTAACAGAGAAGGCAAAAAGATGGGACTAACAATGAATATAAATAAAACCAAATACATGGTGACCTCAAAAAACCCTGTTGACAACATACAACTGACATTGGAGGGTAAACCCCTAGAGAGAGTCGACAAATATAAATACCTAGGAGCAATTATAAACTCACAGTTAGATCAAGAGCAGGAGATAAAGGTCAGAATATAAATAGCTCGAAAAGGCTTTATAAAATACAAGTCAATGTTTACAAATAAGAAATTGAGCATGGCCATCAGATTGAGGTTCGTCGAATGTTATGTTTGGTCGCAACTACTATATGGGGTAGAAGCTTGGACTCTGAAAGCCCAATCCATAAAAAAAATGGAGGCATTCGAAATGTGGCTATATAGGCGAATTTTGAAGATTCCTTGGACTGCAAAAGTCTCAAATGAGGAAGTGTTAAGACGAGTTGGACATGGCACAAAGCTTATGAACACAATTAAAATAAGAAAACCATCGTATCTGGGCCACATACTCCGAAACGATAAATACTCTCTGCTACAAGTCATCATGCAAGGTAGAGTAGAGGGTAGAAAAGGCTCGGGAAGAAAGAAGAAATCTTGGCTGAGGAATATCAGAGATTGGACTAACCTCAGTGTTGAACAGATATTTCACGTTGCAAAAGATCGGGAAGCGTTTAAAAAAGTGATCGCCAACTTTCGTTAGAAGTCGGCACAAGAAGAAGAAGAAGACAAACATGTTCGAAATGTATTCACATGTACAACGAATTAATTATTTAAATATTCTAAACTTTTAATAGAGTCTCCAGTAGTTAACTATCAAAGTGGTATTTGTAATTTCAGTTTGACCGATAGAGCTTTTCTCATGTTGGAAATTTTCTTTTTAATTTTGGGGTTAACAAGTTCCGATAAATATTGAAAATGGTTTATACGACATTCTATGTAAATTTTTAAAATCACCAAAATACATCACCAAGGTACTTAGGGATGTCTTTAATTAAATTAGTATGACTTCTTTATTAAATCCACTCCCTTGGAAACCATCGTGTATTCTTCGGTTTTCTTGCTAAATTTTGTAAAATCCTGTTTGCTATAACTCCACACATAACTTGATATGCTTCTTCCATCAAGCACTACATAGTCACCACATGACCACGGTCGTGAAGTTATTAAGATTCGTGTAGCACGGTATGGCCCTTGAACGTGATTCACTAATCATGTCAACGCGGCTTAAGGTCCTTTTTTTCATATCCAGTCCAGATTTAATTTAAACGACCGGTAAAACGAATAAAGTTTTTATTACAATACAATTATTCTTTTTATATAGGACATTAAGTAGATGTTTTCAGATTTGGCAAACTTTGAATTAAATCAATATTTCTTCAACAATGATTACCCATTTTGTTAATTACTAGTACAACTGTAACAACCTTACCTTCCTCTATCGTCCAAGGGTTGGTTCATCACTCTAGTCTTAATGACATCCGCAGGAGTACCCATGGATGCTGCAACAAATCCTGCGCAGCTACTTGACAAAATATGGAGGATATAATCATCGGGAAGGCCAGTGCGCTTCATTATTTGTCTTTTGGCTATGTCGTAAGTGGTCAAATCACCTAAATTTACTAAAGCTGCTCTTTGTACGTTTGGAACTGACCCTAGAGAAGAGAAATAGGTAAATAATTGCATAGAATGAAATATGAATGAAGTAATAACTGATAAACACATCACATATTTACAATAATACAATAATCTATACAATACTCTATTTACAATAATCTATTTTACATTTGGCAGTAGGCAGCGAATATTCAAAGATTAAGATAATTCTCTTACCTTTCCATAATCCTCTGATTCCACCGTTCGTCCAAACCTTCTTAAAGGCATCCCACATACCGTTAACTCTAGGTGGTAATCCTAGTAATTTCCTTTTGCCTTCCATCTGGATCTGGACTTTTAAGAGGTCTGTGGGGCTGGCCAGGTACTGGGCAAATGCTCCTGCTGAGACCCCACCTTCAAAACATATCGTCGATTTGGTTCGAAATTTCTTTTAAATGTATTTTCTACAGGTTTAAGCAGAAGGGGTCGCGAGGACCACTTTCCGTCAAACTCTAATTAATATCGTGAAATGCTGGAAGGTAATTCCCACATGTTAGTATGGACACGTTTATATTGTTGAAAGTGAAAAGAAATCTAAGAACGAGAAGGTTAAAAATGTAATAGAAGTAGAGTTTGTTTATATACTTACACTGATCACTAATGCATTATTGCTACTGGAAACAGCGGACTGTTCATTTATACCGCCGATGATGATGTGATTTGGGTGGCGTGGTAATTGGCGCGAGTAATTCTGATAGCAGGATTTTGATTGGAAGGTGGAGCGGACGGTATTTTCTTTATGAGGGGTCTCATGTCGAAGGTAATCGGATCCCGTCATCTATTTTATTGAGACAATTTGGCCTTTTTAATTTCTATAGCTTTTCGGATAATTCTTGGACTATGGCTCTGGAGTTTTTAAAATTAGTTTTGTGACCTGTATGAAGATGATATTAACCTGTAACTGAAATTGAATCGGAATTGCTAACAGAAATGAAATGTTCATAACTCCCATTTTAGATTCTACAATTTGTTAAGCCTATATAAAATCAGGGACAGTCTGCAAAATTCACAAACCCAAAATTCACATACCCGATAGTCCTCTACGTTTCATTGTCAATGCATACAACTGCACACAACTATTGGCGCAGTACTTGGCCAAAACTCTACAACCTCTCACTAAAAATGCTTCATTCTTCGTCAAAAATTCTTTTCATTTTATCGAACTTCTTAAACAATACCTTATCTCACCGTCAGACATTCTAGTAAGTTTCTGATATTGTTTCACTATTTACAAACATTCCTACAGACGAAACTCTAAACATTCTAAAAACTAAATACAGTATCCTGTAAGACTATCATTAAAGATTGTATGTCCAACACTTATTTCATCTTCCAAAATCAATTCTACAGACAAATAAATGGTGACCCAATGGGCTTTCCATTATCTCCAGTTATCGCCAATATCTTTATGGGAGAATTCGAGACCTTAGCACTATCCACATCAGTGCGCAAACCAACATGTTGGCTACGATATGTTGACGATACATTCGTGATTTAGCCCCATGGCAGGGATGCTTTAGTGTGTTTTCAAACCCATCTGAATGGTATACATCCTAGTATCCAGTTCACGATGGAGGTGGAAACTGATTCATCCCTACTGTTTCTCGACGTTATTATAAAGAAAATCCAATCCCAAGGTTTTCATCACATTGTTTATCGAAAACCCACCCATACCAATCGTTACTTGCATGCCAACTCTCATAATCCACCTTTACAAATTAATTCGGTCATTAATACCCTTGTCTCCAGATCAATAAGACTTTGCGATGGTGTAAGTAGACCAACTGAGCTCTCGAAAATTACATCAATAAGAGCATCCATAGACATCAATCTATTGTCTATTCGCTTAGCTAGGGTATATTTTGACAGACTCATTGTAGGAAACCTACAACACAACAATTCCTACTTGTCAGTATAAATAGCTCAAGTATACTACTATTGCAGACCTCTTTCTTTGAAAAAAAGAAGAATTATTCTAAATAGTGGAAGTGTATACTAAACCCATCAAATTTTCCCTGTATATTTAAAATATAATATTTGAATTGTTACAATTTAAAATATTGTAGTAAATATTTGTATTATTCGCGTTGTTTATTTAATTTAATATTGTTTTATTATCTTTGTTTAATTCTTTTGTTAGTTCTATTCAGTTAATTAGTTAGTTATATTTTAAATTTTATTATTATGGATAGTCAAAGTTTTCCGTTTGTTCCATCAGCTAATGCGTTGGTAAGTTTTTCTTAATAAATATGATAAAATGTTTTTTAAAAAGTTTTTTTAAAGTTAATATTTTTAGATTAGTAAGGATGCTGTTCCTAGATTACAAGGTAATAAAATTGCACAAAGGTTTATTCAAAATGCCTACCATTTTTTTTACCGAATGAAAACCCTGTTGAGGTAAGTTGATCATTAAAATATATTTATCGAATTATGTAAATGTTGTAAATACATAAGGAACTTGCTGTGTCTTATTCTTATTTAACCTCACTTTGACTTCTTAATTTTGTAGAATTTATTCCCACTTTTTTATTTTGTACAATAAATAATTTTATTATTTGTTATCAATACATTATACGGTGTAAATAAATAAATATTGATTGTCGGCAAAGTTCTATTTTATTTACTTTTGTTTACATTAATATTGACTATTTATAAGAGCACGTATGCTTGGTTGTATAGTATTTTCCAGCCACTTCGAGTCTGTCAAAAAACTTCGAAAAAAAATAATTACTAAAATCACTAGACAGTTCGGACTGGGAATAGCGAACCGGGTATACCACTCAATCTCAATCCAAAGTAGCAGCTCAGTGGCTATGTTACTAGCTTAACAAGCTGGAGGGTCCGGGTTCGAATCCCGGCACCGACAAAATTTTCAACTTCTAATTTAACTGAGCTGCCACCGTGCTTCGGAGGGCACGTAAAGCCGTCGGTCCCGGCTATAAAAGCAGTCGTTAAATGTTAGGGGCGTCTGCGCGACCTGAAAACCCTAACACTAGACCATACCCAGAAGGATACATGAACTTTACTTTTAAACCCAAAGACTCAGACTTTTATCATACGAAAGCTTTTTTTTCCTTACATCAAAGGTGTCACTTATAAAATCGACAAAATTATTAAATATAGAGGAATAAAGACAATATTTACCCCCCAACAAAAAGTTTCATCTCTTGTCCAATCAATGAAAGACAATATTCCAAATGAACAACACCGAGTTTACAAAATTCCTTGTGCAGACAGCCCCTATCCTATCAAACAAATCGTAAAATCCAAAATGGGATTTATGAACATTTCATTTCTGTTAGCAATTCCGATTCAATTTCATCTATAGGTCAATACCATCTTCATACAGGTCACAAAATTTATTTTGAAAACTCCAGAACCATAGCTCCCATGCGCTTCTATAAAATAAGAATTACCCGAGAAGCCAAAGAAATTGACAAAAAGGCAAATTGTCTCAAAATAAAAGAGATATAGGCATACTTACCTTCGACATGGAGACCTCTTATAAAGAAAATATCGTCCGCTCAACCCGCGGATCAAAATTCTACTGTCAGAAATGTTTGCGCCAACTCTCACGAAAATTCCACACAAACCACGTCACTATCGGCGGTATAAATGAAACGTTCTTTGTTCCCAGTGGCAGTAATGCACTGGTTAGTGATCAGTGTAATAGTGTCTGGGGGCTCGGGGGACTGAGACCTCAGAAGCCCCGAAGAAGGCATCAAAGATAATGTCGAAAGTACATATTGGAAAGATCTTCCATGTCAGTATTATTATTGATAGATTTTGGATCGTTTTATGTGAATCATCTCCAATATGCAACTTTTGTTGTAATATTGTTCTTTTTCCAAAATCTGTACATTTTCAAAATTCAAAAAAATGGCTATTTTCTAAAGAATGTTTGGCTAGAACTATTGTGTTTAATCCGTTGGTGTGTATACTATGTTTGTGTGCAACAATCCTTATATGCAGGTATTTGTGTGTTTGTCCACCATAATAATAATTTTATAATCGTGTTTTTATACTAGTATTTTTTTAATTATGTGTAGCAGTAAAATTTATTAACAAACCTAATTTTATTTGGCGAGTTCCTATTTTTTAAATTATTCGTTCCACTATAAGATATTTTGTATTTTTATTTTAGCTCTTGAAAAGAATTGTAGACAATAGACAACTTGAGTAGTAAAGAATAGTGATTTAATAGCCCCTTTTTATTGACTCCAGCCCATCCAAACATTATATTTTTTTCAAACGAGTCAACAAGTACTATTTTTTTCTTACTTGGTTTTCCGGCTTTGATTCCGCTTAAAGTTGTTTTGGTAAAAACCATCGTTTTAACGATTTTTCGGCAAGTTGACAGGACACTTCACACCGTGAGAACACCATTCGTTAGTCGTTGTATTAAACTTGTTTAACACGAGCATACTATGGCGATTTCAAGGTTGTTTCTTCTCATCAAGTATGCATAGATGTATAAGAACTCAAATCCAAAGAATAACAAAACGTCTCTACATATTTTTCCACCTAAGCGACAGCGTACAAAGCTTGTAGTACATTAAAGTATAAGTGGATATTGAGCCAGGGCGAAAGATAGGGGGGAATGGAGACTAATTCTTGAACAGGCCAAGACCCACCCAGGGTTGAAGAGCCAAAGATGATGATCATGGATATTGAGGTCTTTAAAACACGCACGATTTTTCGAGCTCGACGGCGCAGCCGGAGTACTCGAAATATAGCAAGTGTTTTGAAGACCAGTTATTCACGAATACTTTACACTATTTTCTTATTGGTACACTTTGAAATCATGTATTATTACTACAAAAGATTGAAATAAGAGGTAATGATGTAAAATGATTGAATTTGTGATGTAATGGGTGTTTTTTAGAGATATAGAACTTTGAAATGGAATGAAACGAAGATGATTTTTTAAATTGACATAAAATTAAATTTATTCAAATGATAATCTCTTAGCATTACAATATAAATATGATTTCTGACATAATGACAGCTACAGCTAGATCTGACGTAGTCTAATCTAGAGGTCATGTGTTTGATTACATTTTCTAACATGTCTGACTGTAACTGTGTTGTTATCCGAGTGGTCAATTGGTTTAGGCAAGTCGGCGTAGACTAGTAACTTATCCCCATAGAAAATGATATGGCGGTGTTAAATCGCACGATCTTGGAGACCAACTCACGACTCCGAAACATGAAACTATGCGGATACCAAACGTTTATTTCAATGAATCAATTGTGGCACGAGTTATGTGACTTGTTGCGCCGTATTGTTTAAACCACAGCTTCTGTACATCATGGTTATTCAAATAAGGAATCACAAAATCAGTAATCATGGC